AAATGAGCAAATTTGTCGAGGACGAGTTCGATCGTTCGAGCTTCTTTTCTCAATTTTTTCAGCTTTTCGTCTATTCGAAAGGAAATATAATTCTTGATTATTATTATAATTTAGTCCAAGATTTTTATTAGTATAAATTCGAGTATTTTTCGAGTTAAAACAATTCAGTATGAGTATACCAGTTTAATTCCGAACTTAGTTTAATTTTTAGAAAAATCTCTAGAGTATTCTTTTATATCCTGCGAAAATTTTTGAGAGCGTCTACAAAAGCCCTTTGAGCGCCTTTCCGATGCCGGAGTGGAGGTGGTGCGCCGCGGAAAATTCGGCCCTCCCCGGGATGACCGGCTAGTTTCGCCACTGAGTGGGGGGTGGGGGTGTGTGTGAGAATTAGATCCACTTCAACCAACAAACTTTTCATAGGATGTAAGAACAGAGGTGTGATGGTGATGGTGAATTTAGCGGTGAGAAAAAAATTGAAAAAACCGAAAAAATCAAATCGAAAAAATCGAACCGATGTAAAAACCAATGATTTTAGAGGAAATTCTACGGTCCCGTTACGGTACCATCCCGTCAAGTGTTTTAACCGTTGGATCATCTATCTTATATAACTACATGCGGATCCAACGGTTAAAACATTTGACGGGATGGTACCGTAACGAGACCGTAGTATTTCTCTGATTTTAGTTTTTGAAAACCAAAAACCAATTTTTTCGATTCGATTTTGGTTTTATGCTCAAAATCGAACCGAACCCAACTATTTATTTAATTAAAATTTTATATTTTTATATGCACATATATGTATGTATACATATATATATATATATATATTAACATTGAAAGTCATTAAGTAATGCATCTAACTCATTTATTTTTAATTTTTATTATTTAACTTCAAACTTTAAATTATATTCCATTATATAATTTTTTTAATCTATTATATAATTGAATAATTATAATTTTTAATTTATTCTAGGTGGACATGTATATATAATTTTAAATATTCATCATAATTTTATTTTAAAATATAGTAATTAAATTTAATTGTAAATTAATATACATATATATATTATTTAGTTTATTATACTCAAATTTTATTTTTGTAATATGTGATTTTATTTTTTAAAGTTATAAAATCGAATAAAAATCGAAATCAAACCAAAAATCAAAAATTAAAAATCGGAAAAATCCAACGGTTTTAGTTTTTGGTTTTTTAAAAATCAATTTTTTTTTTTTTTTTATTTTTGGTTCGATTTTATTCCAAAATCAAACCAAATCGAACCATGGATACCCATAATGGTGATGGTGATGGACCTGATGGTGGTAGGACTGTAGGAGTAATTGATTTTGGAGGAATCAGAGGTGTGGGGAAGGGTGAGTAAGTAGGATCAACGGCCACGGAAGGGGGTGTTTGGTAGAATCAAAGGCCACTATTCAACAACATGATAGTACCAATTCACGTGAAACCAAAAACGAATTTTGCAATTGGCCAGATGATTCACACTAGCTACTAAGAGTACTACTAATTAATACATTTGTACCAAAAAAAAAATTAATACATGACCAAGCACGGCCTATAAATAAAACCAACCACATTGGCAATGTCCCATACCAGAACTAAAATCCTCGTCTCTTAACTACAACTATGAGACTATTAGCCACTTTTCTTTTTCTTGCTGCTGCAATCTACCTTCACCAGCTCGGAGGTGTTCACAGCATTAAAATCACTTACAATAACGGAGCCAATCCCAACATTGAAGCCTATGTAAACCTTATACAAGACCTCCGAAGGGCAGTAGCAAGGGGAACCGACTCCCATGGCATTGCGGTGACACGCGACCCCAATCTCCCTCTTCAAGACCCTTTCGTCCAGGTCCAACTTGAGAGTGGCGGTGACGAGGTTATCACTGTAATAATCTACACAGTGAATGTCTACGTGGTGGGTTATTATTTTGGCCCTGTTGTTCAGCCAATTTTATACTATTTAGATGATATTCCAAGAGAAGCGTTGTTTCGGGCTTTCCCCAGCCCGAACTATACTCATCGTGCGCTAGGTTTCGCTGGCAACTATGGCTCTCTTCCGAGTAGAGAGGGTCAGGAACTTGGACACAGTGCCCTAAATGTCGCCATCAGTAATTTATTTCACGGAAATTCTCGACCAAATTCTCGACCCGGCGCGCTGTTGGTGATCATTCAAATGTTGTCAGAAGCAGCAAGGATAAGGTACGTTGAACACCTTGTCCGACGAAACATGCTGGGGGATAATCTAAACTTCATACCAGACCCTAGGGCCATAAGCATGGAGAACGCATGGTCTCGTCTATCCGAGCAGGTCCAATTGTCAAGTGAGTCTGGTGTCTTTGATAGGACCATTGAAGTTCGAAATGTGTTAAACCAAGTTGTCCGAGTAAGCAGTGTAGTAGTTCTCATGCGTGAAGCGGCGCTGGCTCTATTGTTGTACCGCGGATGCAACCCCAGAGCATTGATAAGAATGCCAGTTTCAGTTCCAGAAGCAGTTGCAGTTGGGAGGGCTGACGAGGACTGTCCGAATGAAGAGCCGACCACAAATATCATCGGAAGGGATGGGCAATGCGTAGACGTGAGAGATGGCCACTACAATAATGGGAATTCCATTATTTTGTGGCCATGCGGAAATGCTCAACTTAACCAGCTCTGGACATTCAAATCTGATGGCACCATCCGGTCCAATGGAAAATGCTTGACAACCTATGGTTATTCCCCTGGAGTCTATATATACGATTGTGATGCAGCTGTGACTGAAGCCACCAAGTGGGTTCTTTATAATGCTGGTACCATCATGAATCCTAGATCGGGCCTTGTCATAGCTGCTGAGAGCTCCACACAGGGAACCGTGCTGACGGTAGCTGAGGATAACAATTCTTCTAGGCAAGCTTGGACTGCTGGAAACTATACTCAACCCACCATAACTTATATCAGTGGGTTTCGTGAAATGTGCTTGCAAGCCAACGGTGCCAATAACCGTGTTTGGCTAGCAAATTGCGTTATTCGCACAGAGCCCAATCAGCAGTGGGCGCTCTATGGCGATAGCACTATTCGACTCTACAGTGATCCCACTCTCTGTGTGACATCAGATGGCCATGAAAGCTTGGATAGCATTATCCTCCTTAAATGCCAAGGCTGGGGAAATCAGCGGTGGACTTTCATGGCTGACGGCACCATCTTAAACCCTAATGCTCGGCTAGTTATGGATGTCGAGAATAGTGATCCGTCTCTTAAAAATATCATTCTGTATCAGCCTAAGCCTACTGGGAATGCTAACCAATTCTGGTTGACATTCTAATGCATATTATGCATGGCTTCCATAGCATGCATGCATCTACGTGCTGTCCTCCTGCTGCGTTGTTTCCTCGAGGGTCTGGGTTCTCTTAATCCCGTTTCCTCTTTTTTTTTTTTTATGTTCTTTTCCTGTTTTTGGCATCTTAATTTGTTTGGCTCCTGCTGCTTAATGTTTCTTGTATGTGCTTGTGGCTGTCTTTGGCTTGCTGTATGGTTGGCTAGCGGCCTTTCTATTTTCAAATAAATGAATCGTAGATGCAATCTAATAATGAATATCGATCTAAATATAATTATTACTGCTTGTCGGGGTAATGCCCCTTTGTACTTGTTTCTGTGCTTTTGGCGAAGCACATTCTTTTTCTTTTGAATAATCCCTTTGGTTAATGCTGTGTTTGGGAATCGGAAATGAAAACCTCAAAAAAGCATTCCAAATGTTGTGCTAACGTTGTTTTCTGAGGCCTTTCAAGGTCCATAACATCTTTTTAGACTTGACTGCTTATTCCATTCTTTCATTCATGTACCTTGTATCTAGTTGAAGGCAGATTACATAATGCCTGATGTTGCCAGGTTCTACTGCTTGACGAAATCACAGTGGACTTGGACGTTCTTGCAAGGGCCGATCTTTTAAAGTTTCTGAAGAAAGAATGTGAAGAACGGGGTGCTGTTATTATATATGCCACACATATTTTTGATGGTTTAGAGGATTGGCCATCTCATATTGTAAGTTGAGTCCCAAAACTGTTAATAGTAGATAACATAACATATACCTGCCCTGCAAAACTTGTTAATACCTGCAACCACACTGATGTTTGCCAGGTTTATGTCTCCCACGGGAAGGTACAACTAGCAATGCCAATGAAAAAGGTTAAGGAGATGAGCAATCTGCCATTGATGGTCAGTTCCCAATCCCATACTGAAAGCATCAAAAGAATTCCAAATTGTTAGTACACTTAAAATTCATTGGACTATTTTATTTAAAGTGTACCCAAGCATGAGTTTTGGTAGAAGTGTATCATGGACAAATACATTAAATCAAATTAGGGACAAGCATGTATAACTTTTGAAGATTCCTCCAACCACTCACTCTTGGACCACTCACTCTTCGACTTGCTTTTGGACACACAAGGTATGGGCACATGTAATGATTCTTCTTCCAACCACTCCAAGCACTCTCATTTGTCTTGCACTTTGTGATATTCCCTACAACCACTCCAACCACACTTTGTCTTGGCTTTTGGACTTGATGATACATACACTTATACAAAACATATTGGATGACATATTCAATTGAGAGAGAGGGGAGAGGGAGCCGTGTGAGGTAGAGCGAGAAGAAGAGAAGGGAGCTCCAACCTTCCATTTCCATATCTTGTGATTCTTGAGTTTCCTATTGAATTTCATGTTCTAGCATATTTGGAAAAGTCTTGTACATCACACATACACTCTTGATATTCATGTTTAGATCTTATATTTGAGTGTAAGAGAGAGTAAGATTTGAGTGTTCATGTTTTTCTTGTTCATCCATGGAAGTTCATACTTCTTGGGCTTGAGTGAACACATGTAAAATGCACACACTCACTTTGGGATACACTTTGGGACTATATTTGAGTGAGTTTGTGAGAGCTTAAGTGAGGATATCTTTATCCCTTCAACTATATATCAACATCATACTTCCAGCTAGAGGGTTTTCTTGTGGATGCTCAGTTCATGAAGAAGGAGATAAAGCAATACCTGTTCGCCAACCAGCTCGAATAGGACGTCTGTTCTGTGACTGTTGCAACGACGGTAAAATAGTCATTCCCTTAGCCGTAGTGCTTTGTGTTGTGGGAGTTCAGTAGTAATTTTGCCGTTCAAATGTCCAATCAAAATGTTAAATCATGTTAGCAGCTAATTAAAGGATATTATACATTACGTTCATGTCTATCATGTATGGATCAGAAAAATCGACAGAACAGATACTAATTTTGTAAGCAAGAGGTTCTAAACAACCTGTATTGAGCAGGATCTTCATTTAGAGCCTCAATGTAAGCTTTGAAGATGGTCTCTCGGTCCTCATTGCTAGGATATCCATCCATGAGCTGATCATACACAGTAACGAAACCAAGTGCAAAAACGGGATCATAGCGGTATGACCTCTTGTACCTTATCAAATGCTGCTGTACAATAAGCTCTTGTAAAACTGTGTTGTATATACTAGGAATCGGTCTCTTATATGCCTTCAAGAAATTCAACTTTGTTTGGGAGACTGTTGGCAGGTCTGAAACTAATGAGTACAAGGGACAAATGTTCAGAATCAGCTCTGGAGCTCAAGAGAAAAGGCATAATTCAGGAATTTAACAGAAGCAAAGACATGAACATATTTAATCAGAGAATTCATAAATCTCAGAGCATTTCTTAGACTGTACCCTGTTTGAGGCAGATTAAAGACGAATCCCTTAATGAGACCATGCTGCATAATATCTATAGCATTACAGAATATCGTTTTAGTATAATGTTCAGGGCATTAGAGCAGTAGGCACTGTATTCTTGGGAGTATGGCATTTGAGCTTGAAAGTATGCACATCTCTTGTTGAAAAAGTATGGCTGCCTAATCATTAGGTCTGCCATCTGCCTAACAACAACCTTACTGATGGTGAAGTTATGAGCAGCGTGGGTTTTCTATTCCGGAATACCGCTTAGGATAGTGAATCTCTTACCTGTAATTTCGAATCTTGATCTATTATTCGGCCTAAAAAATCAAAGTGATTGAGGGTCACACTCTAAACTCATGTGCTTAGTAGTGCATTAGTATATCAGAAAGCCTTGTCTAACCTCCATACTCGAATCAATAATTGTGTATTCAGTGAATACATGCTTTCAATTAATGAATGAATGTTAAAAAAAAAAAAAAAAAAAA